GCAAAAATGGTTTTGCAGACTGATTCCTGGGATGTCAGGCCTGAAGACAGACTAGATCGGTTAGGACAATATTCACGTAAGTTTAAAAGAATGAGGAGGCATTTCATAGAAACCTTTAAAATTTTAACAGGACTAGACAGGGTCAATGCAAGAAGGATGTTCCCAGTGACCAGGGTGTCCAGAACCAGGGATCACAGTTTACGGATATGGATAGGTTATTTAGGACTGAGAGGAGGTGAAATTTCTTCACTCATAGGGTGGTGAGTCCATTTAAATCTCTGCCACAGAATTGGTTGAGGCCAAAACATTGAATGCTTTCAGGAATTCATTAGATAAAAGTTAAAGATAGTTCAATAGATAATTAAATAAAAGCAAAATACTGCAGATATTGGAAATCTGAAACACAAGGCGAGAATGCTGGAGAAACTCAGTAGGACGGGCAGCTTCTGAGGAGAGAGAAACAAGAGTTTACATTTAGAGTCTGGTGTGACTTTTATGCAGAAGAAGTCTGACCACAGTCATTTTTCTTAGGAATAGTTCTTAGGGCAATGAGCATATTGAATGGTCAAACAAGTTTAAAGGGCTGAACGGCTACTCTTGCTCTTATTTTCTATATTTCTGTGTAATCAATCAAATGAATTAATGTGATTGAATCCTTGTGAAAGGCAACCAAATAACAATAATGTTTAAGATTCAAACAGAAATGAAAAGGAAAATGATGAGTGCAAAAGCAAGCTCACTGATTTGGAATAGGCCAGATCTCAGCGAGAAAAAGAGTGAACTAGCAGAGATGAGAAGGGAATGAAAATTGCTTTATTTAATTTGTAGAATAAACAAACAAACAATTACAAAGGGAAACTATTTCATATTTCAAGATTTCCAAAGTGGAGGGTTAGAAACAAAAAAACAATTGACACATGAATCCTATCGTTATGATTTTTGATTTTGATTTCATTTGATTTACTGTCACATGTAACAAGATACAGTGAAATTATATTGCTTTGCGTGCAATTAAGTACATCAAGGTAAGAGAACAGAATGCAGAATATAGTGTTACAGCTACAGAGAAGGTACAGAGAAAGAGTAATTCTGACTTAAAATTGATACTTAAAAGAGTAGAACGATTATAATATTGAAACTAGTGAAACAAGAGTATGAGAAAAGAAGTTGACAGGGAGTAAGTGGAATCTAAAAATGTATACTGCAAATACGTTAGTTAAAAAAAACACTAATGATGTAAGGCGTAATCTCCATTAGCAAAAGGCAGCAGTGAATTAAGTTGGGATACACTGAAATTTATGGAAATACTTAATGAGCATTTTGCTTTAAGAAGAGTGATGATAATATAATAGAAAAATTAACTCAGCTAACGGATATCAGATTACAGGGAACAGGAGTGCTACATTCAAAGACATGATGGAAATGGGAGAAGTAGTATCAGAGGACAAGACATTATTTCAGGGATTTCTGAATAGTGGATGTGCCAGAAGACAAGAGTGGCCACTGTACTACTCACTTTTATAAAGGGGAACAGAGCTAACCCAGGTGATTGTAGTCTAACATCGATGACATCAAATGTTCATGTAAAAAAAATTATTAAATATCTGAATGAATAGAAAACTTACTTTAATTTCCAACAAGGTATTCCTAATTGCTCATGTAACTTTAGCAATAGATCTGTGGAAATACTGGGAAAATGTTGATTATATTAAAGTTTCCACGAGTGTGTGTGAAGTTTCAATGAATAACTAGGAGAATCCCCTTGCAAATCCAACTTTAATCCTAATAATTAAAAGCTATCAATATAACATTAAGAAAGGAATATGTTCCCATTACTTTTATGTATAACTAACTGCATGTACAAATTGATTTTACTATTCCAATTCAGGATTTTTTTCTCTAATAAGACAATGGCACAAAAATGGCCCTTTCCAAACTTACAAACCCACAAAATTCAAACTGGACACCAGAGTGCAAGCATCTGCAATGCAAGTTTCTAGGCCATAATGTGCACACCTTCTAAAATTTAAAACTAGAATTATAAAAAAAAGCAAATATATTTGTTTATTTTTAATAGCAGAAACCAGCATTTTTAAAATTTGTATTAACGGAAATTAGAAAAGAACAGTCAGTCAATCAGCTTGTTTCACACTTCTCAAGATACAAGTTTAGTTAATGTTTTTAGTCTGGTGGAATGGCATTCTATTAATGCATGCTGGGAGTCACCAAATGATTGAAGGGATCACTATCTTTTTAAAAACTGAAAGAACCAGGAACAAAAACAAAGTTGCTGGAAAATCTCAGTAGGTCTGGAAGCATCTGTGAAGGAAAAACCAGCGTTTAACTTTTCAGGTCTGGTGATCCTTCCTCAGAACTTCCTCACTATCTTTTTAACTCAGGCTTCTTTGCACAGAATCCTTCAGCCTCCTTCAATTATCATGGAGCAACCCCACCCTGAACCACAATTAGCCCTTCTGCTTCCATTATATGCTGGAAGTCTGTCGTGGCCTGTTAACATCAAATTCCCACTTCTTATGCAGGACAAATAGTAAATTTGATTGAGTGTTGATCAAGAACTAATTATTAATTAGGCCCTACTGTTAAGATAAGCAGGGCTCCAAGAGCTAGAATCCGTCTGTGCTGCCGCTTTAGGGTTTGCGCAGATTGTTCCTGATCCTTTTATGAAATCAGGGAGATAGTTACAAATGAAGTAAAACAAAAATCACTCTTCTTATCCACTAAGTTTCCCCTTGTGTCTTTGATTTTGAGCTAAAGTTTCCTCCAGTTCTTCATGACAAATTTCAAGTGAGCCAATAAATGCATCAAGGTAAAAGAACAGGTACACTGTACAAACAAAGAATAGAAAATGTGGCTGAATAAATACTGTAGAAAACAGCCATAATAAAACTCAAACATCTGTTATTAATGGTAACTATCATTCACGGGTGTTCACAATCATTCAGGAAAGAGTGCAATCATTTGGTGTGTACTTCTATGTTCAGCTAACAAAATTATGTTGGGATACTCATATATTACGGTTGATAGTGGTTTCAAGGAATGGCACTCTTGCAAATAGCATAGAAGGTGCCAAGGGTGTAACGTGGGGGAGTCAATTATCATTGCATAATCACCTCCTTTGGAATCCAGCTTTGATGGCGTTTGTAGCTGTTAGGTATGATTTGCTGAAGTGATCATCTTCCTGGTGCGTTTCCATCTTTCTTCTCCAGCTGTTTCTGGGTCATCTTCATGTCCATTGTATTACTGGCTTCCCTGAGTGCAAAATTACAAGGGGCACGGCACAGGAACATAGACGCAGGAACAGGCCTTTCTGCCTCTCAAGCCCAGTACTTCAATTAGATCATGGCTAATTTGTATCTTAACTATATTTTCCAGCCATGATGCCAAGAAATCATGCATGCAAATCGGAATCCATGCTTGCCTTTGGGTTATGTATGAAGTACTCTGCTTTGTCTCCCAGGATCCATAAATTCACATGGTTACTGTCATGGAAAAGTTGTAAAAAGAATAAATTCATCATTTGTAATTCCACTGTTTGCTTGACTGTAACAAGCAGGACTTTCTGGTTGGTATCACAAACAAACTGTAACTTCGGTAAATGGAACTCTTTTAATGTATGGCAAAGGTTTTTCTGTTCGTTGCTGTCTTCAGAGCCATCCTTGAGTGAATTATGGCATTCTGCATCCAGATTTCAGATTGCTGATTGAATGCAATCACTTTCTTTGTCCCCTGGGTATTTTGGTGAATTTGTTAAGTTGTTCCTTTGAAAGTTATGGTCATTAACTGTCACATAGCTGCCATGATTGCACTCTACCTGATGTAACACAAATCCATAATGGCAGCTTGAAAAGACTTTGAAGCCAAGAAAATGCAAGAAAATAACTTACATGCTTATAAAAACCTTAACATAGCAAAGTATCCCATGGCAACGGTTATATTCACAGCCATTGTCAGATTAATGCTGACAGTTGTGTCAACGTGATCTTGATGGTCACACAATTTCACAAAATCAGCTTTAACAAATCATACCTTTTAACACAAAGCTTATTACAGATCTTATGGCGCAGCGGTCGAGCCTATGTTTCTGAAGCAGAAACTCTGGGTTCAAGTGCCATTCCAGGACACATCGAGCCTGATTTCAACTTCGTGAAAGTGCATAGGTTTGGAGTAGGGGGAGACTGTGACTCTATAGGGGTTTGGGGGAAAAAGCCCGATATCTGCGAGTATAGCTTGGGGACTCTTTAAATCTCTCAAGCTCCCAACTTCAGCGGGTGTTGCGGGAAATATAAGAACATTTAAATGGTGTAAGCTACTCAAAGTGCAACAGTAGCGCAAAAGCAGGAAATTTTTATCGGAATGCCACTAGACGAATCGGATGCCTACACAGTACTAACAAGAGTCCCATGGAACTTGGGAGACGGACAATTTAAATTGCATTCCACGCTTAAAATAATTGTGCTAAAATGCATTCATATTGTTATATCGGATAATCACGGCAAAATTAACAAAATAAGTGCATGTTGGCAAGTATGTTCTGGGAAAAAATCTATGAATATTTAGTAAAGAAATGAATGTGAAGCGAATGGTTTAATACTTCTAAGGGATAAAACGGGAACACGAAGTTAATACATAGTCAAAAAGCCGGTTTAGTCATATGTTTTAAATGTACGCGTTACAACCAAACGTATGGCAGCAGAATTCTGAGAAGTCACTAATACCCAACTTCAGCAACTGAGGTTTAAAAGTATCATTGGCGTGATACACCAATTTCCAGAGTTAAAACTGATCATATCCGATGCTGAATGCGTTCTCCAATTTTTATCTAACACCCATACTTGAGTGAAATAATGCAAAGATGGAATAACAAGCGTCAGTCCGCATGGCTGGAAAACTATAACATTAAAAAATGCACTGTTGGTGTAGTTACTACTTGGGGAGCTAAAAACATTGCCCAAAATTACATCAGTGAAAGTTTACAGTACCTTCGGGCAGCTGGCTGTTCTCTGGTTGAAGGGTAGCCATGGGGGCACACTCTGACGGTGCGGGCTGAAACGGATACAGTAAGAGCAAAGGCGTAAATGAAACAAGGTAACAGTGAAGTCAAGACGCACCGATGAGTGGGGATCCGCTTCCGGGCAGTTGGGTTCGGGCAGATCATCATGTTCTCTGGCACGTGGGCGCTCCCTACAGGTATCAACCAACTGCAGCTGTCACTTTGGGGGAAGAGGTGGCACAGGAGTGTGTCCAGAGAGTAGCTCTAAAATTGCTGCTCGTACTCTGCTACTTTGCACTGTACTTTGAAAAAGAACCGTGCAAAAACCACGTGTGCGTTGTTCTAGTTTATGCTTTTCATTTAACGAATTTCCATCGCTTGGCCATTTGATTGTTTTCGGTTGTTTCCCTTGCTCTCTCTATCGAGGTGGAAATCTCTCGATTGGTTTGAATCAACAGTTTTGAGAAAAGCCGTGGCCCGAGTACCTAGAGGTTCATTTGAATGTATTCAGAAAAGTTCCACATATCAGTCTAACGTTGTTTTGTTGTCCATGTTGTCGTAAATAGTGAGGCTTCTACATTTCCCTCTCGGCTTTTTTCCACCGAAGATCCAAAGTCCCCGAGGACCAATGCAGCCAGAAGAAGAACCCAGAGGCTTCTCTACTGAATGGATTGGAGTGACAATTACGAGGCAACATTTATTGTCCATTCTTAATTGCCCCGAGAGGGTGGTGGGGGTAGAGGGCCACCTTCTTGAATCGTTTCAGTACTGGCACCTTTACTGCAGTTTGGTAGTTTGATGGAGACTGGGTAAAGTTAGGTAGTGCTTCTTTAAAATTAGATTTAGGATGATACAATTAGGACATTCAATATTGGGATTAAAATGAACAAGTAGATAGGATGCAGTTCTTCCCTTTACTGGAAATCCAGAACAACAGCATGTAATAACATCATTAAACTAGCTCGAAGCAAGCCCAAGGAAAAGTCGATCTTACAAAGCTTCACAAGTAAACGATATCCCAGAGAGCACTGATGCATAACTAATTTACATAGTTAAACAGAATGAGACAATTGGGTACTAATTATGCGAAGGCATGTGCCAGCCGCATTAATAAAGGAAACAAAACAGTAGAAAACACTCAGAGATAGTAGGAACTGCAGATGCTGGAGAATCCGAGACAACAAGGTGCAGGGCTGGATGAACACAGCAGGCCAAGCAGCATCATAGGAGCAGAGAGGCTGACGTTTCGGGCCTAGACCCTTCATCAGATGAAGGGTCTGATGAAGGGTCTAGGCCCGAAACATC